ACTGTCTGAGCCCAGGTCTGGAGTAAAGTCTCCAAATGCATGGTCTACTAGGACTTGCATTTTCTGCTATATATCCATAAAATTGAAGTGGAATGATGATACAATTGTAGAGGATTGCAGATACAAATAGCTTTGAGGGACATAAGAAACAAGTGGCTTAAGTTAGAAACAGGAAATTGCAAATATAATAAAAAATTACGTACTAACCTCATTTGGATCAAAATAAGTTCTGACTAGGAGATGTTCAAGACGCAAATATCTTTCAGGCTGCTCTTGTTTCATTACACCCATCACCTGTGTTTGCCTTAAAATTGCACGAGCAGTGTCCAGTTCTCGAAGTTCAATCATTTCTAATACAATCTGCAACCATGTATGAAATTTTGAAATATCACTAACTTGACTGATACAGACATCATCATTACAGTGTTATACTGACAAGGTGAGTATAAGGCAGGATTTTACAAATATCAAACAGTCAAACAGTGCTGAATGACAGCTCCTGAATATCACATCCCTGAGGGGGGCAATTGACCCACAACAAATATATGAAGGCCCCATGTTTTATCAACTCCATTCTCTATTTAGCTTGATTTGTTAGCATCACTTTCACAATGGAGGGGAATAATTAGATTGCCACAATATCCAACCTCATTTGGCAACTACCTAGAATTTCAAAGATAAATGATTTTTTTTTCTTTTTATAAGCAAGTGTTAGTTGTTAATATGTTAATTTTAATGTTAGCAGAAGGAATCAAACCTATTAGAAAGTGAACATTAAATCTAATGCAACCTCACAAATCATCTTGAAAGGTGAAGTTTGCATCCAAATTGTAATTTGATCTCATCCCTAGTCAATATGAAATTCCAACACTCTCTTCACACCAAGAACTATAAATGTTGAGCATGGGACTAGATATTTGTGAGTGGTCCGACCTAACAATGAGTGACGCAATACGTACAATAAATTTTACTAAGATAGACTTCGATACCATCTTAGAAAATATATTCTAAACCTAACTCAATCTCACAAAACGACTTATATATTGTAATTTGGACTTATATCTAGTTAATGTAGGATCTTCAACATAATCCTTGAGTTATTCCACCTCCCCTTCATTTCCTTCTAACCACCAAGCCAACCTCATAAATCCAACATCAGTTCCTAATTTCCAATCAAAAAAAACCAAAATTAAAACAGACACTTTATTTCCCCAAAGTAAAGGGTTTAAGAAATTATTAAACTACTGACATAGCACAGAAAATATTAGAAACAACCAAATGATTATGCACTTAAAAGCTAGAGAACCACCAATGCACAAAGAGCAAATGTCATAAGGCTGACCAAAAACATAGCTAGGTTAGGCAGATTGATTAGCAACATTACCCAGCCCTTCCTATGTGAACACCGTCACGCTTTTTACCTTCACCACCCTCTATACCAACATTTCAGCCCATCATTTTAATCTTATTACCCAATTCATACTGTTCATATGATGGAAGGGTCTAAAAGACGTTAAAAATTCCATAACCAGCATTGGAAGACTGTGATAAAGCGGATATACAGTTATACACTACACAACTAGTAGTTATATATCATAAACCAAAGTTTGTCACAAATTACCTGCTCATACAAATCCTCCAATTTATTCCTTGGAAGCTTGAGTTGAGAAACTTGAGGCAATATAGCATCCCATCTCCCACTATTGATGTCAGCAACAAAGGTTTCAATGCTGTCAACAGTGTTCAGAGAAACCTGGCATTCATTTTGCAACGTCTGAAACGTCTGATGCAACGAATTTTCTTTGCAAAACTGAAGCACGATTTTGATGACACTGCGAAGGGCAAACGAAATTTAACGATAACACAAATTAACAAAAAAAAATAAAATAAAAACTATTGAGCGAGAGAACCATTGGACGACTTTCTACAAAATCGAAACATATGTTTTGGTAAATGAAGAAAATTAAATTTCCCGATTTCAAAACTTCGTAAATGAGATGCAAATACTATGTAAAAATTGGATGTAGTAAAAGATACTTACTCCCGAGCTTCAATTTCGAGGGTAGACATTGCTGATATGTCGAATGAACTTCCACTAGGGAGTGTAGGTAGGGTTTTAGTGCAGATTCAAAGAAACAATTGTTTATCACTTACCAGTTTCAAAGTTCATATTATGACATAATATCAGTACCAACAAACATGCCCTTGTGAACAACAAACCCTGTTAGCAAATTGGTCTGGGTCGGGTCAAACCCAATAACCCACATGGTTAGGGCCTAGATTGTTTTTGAGGAATTGTTTTATATTCTTTTTAACTTAATATGTGAAATGATAAATATTTTAAATATTAGTTTAAAATGTCATATAATATATAAAAGTAATAATAAATTATTAATTAAGTTAAGAAAATTATATTAAATTATTTATTTATTAAGTTTTAAAATTAAATTATATCAAAGTTAGAAATAATAAAAAATTTAAATTTGATATGAAAGTTTAAAAACTAAAATTATATTTATTTTATAGTTTAAATTTATTTTATTATTATGTATGAATAATGTTGTTCATTTAATTTTGGTTTCGAGTAGACTTTGTAGTATTCAAACCCACAATTCATACTTTTGAATTTTTATGAATATACCTAAAATAAAATATTATCTAACTAGTCGTAGATTATTCAAATCAAAGTTCATTAGATTTGGGTCTGATCTTTAATAATTTATAGACAGAGAATATATAAAAAAAACGAGTGTGTGAGAAATCGGTATCAATATTATATATAATTCAAGAACTTACCAATATAAAGTTTGTGCACACAATCAACGTATCATAGAAAAAGTAACCAAAATATTTAAAACCAAAAGGATAAACAATTTTTTTTAACAACTTTTAAAAAAAGAATTTGACAATACATCATGTGTCACTATTTTATTCGTTCGTATATTTGAACAGACCAATCAAGAAGTACCACATAACCAATTGTAAAAAAATTGTTAAAAAAATATTTTCCAAACAAAAATTACCATTAAAAGAAATCTACGCTCACAAATACCTTATACATTTAAAACACTGCATAATGAACTGATTAAACTTCTTATTTTTTATTATTTAACTCTTTATTATGGTGTTCAAAGAATTAATTTTCATGCAGAAAACAACTCTTATGTTTTATTTTTGCTTTTATCTAGAAAATGTTTGTATTTTTTAGTGTTAAAATATTTCTTCATAAAACTAATTAATGGTGTGTTCGCTGAAAAGCGAGCATTCTACAATGAAGATGGTAAAATATTTTATGCATTCAGAACACTAAGTGAAAATATTTTTTATTCACTCACAAATGGTTAACAGTTTCAGTTTCAAGTCAAAGATGTAATGCTTAATTTTCCACATATCGTAAGTATAATTATGTGATTCTTGGTTTGAGATCACCGTTTTCGAAAGTGTGTGATCTGCCAGGTCATTGGAAAGATTTTATACCAGACTTACCAAAGTTGAACCTCTTATTTATGGATCAGTCACTCATTTCTGCATGACTCTAAGGAACAACCAAATTTCTCGCTGTATACACTCATGTAATATTTACTCTATATAATGGTATACATAAATACCGTATGTATTTTATTGACTATTCATTAAGATATCATTGATAGTATTTGTTCTTCTTGTTCTCACGTAGGAATGACATTTTCATTAAATAAATTTTATAAGAAAAAGTTATTTTATTGTTTACAAAATTAAAGTTATTCTACATGAATGCCAACTCAATTTCCGTTTTGTTGTAATAGATTTTATTTTCAAGTTTAACTACAAAGCTGAAAATCCGAAACTTGAGGAAGAGCCCACTTTCATTAAAAGAAAATGAAAACATTTGATTATAGGACATTTGTGAAAAGTCAAATCTGGCCATTGTTTTATAGTAGGGTGACAACATAAAATAATAACCATAAAGAAAAATAAATAAATTATGTGATGTCGATAGACTAATAGAAATGTGGTATAGACAATTTCACGCACTTAAAAGTTGCTAATATTTCTATCAATCGTGATAGATTGTCTATTTAAGAAATAATTGAGATTATATAGATGGATCAATGTAATAATTAAAAGGGAAGATTGATTTTTCACCTGACATCAGTATTTTTAATATAATCTTTAAACTTACTATTTATTATTATTTTGATTTTCTAAAGTATTTAAAAAAAGTTAATTGAGTCATCCACTCCACATAAATTATTAACGTATATATATATGTCTTTGTTTTCTCTTATTTCTGTTTCTTACTCTCTCACTTAATATAATTTTTATCTTTTATTTTTATGTCCTTCGTCTTTATATCAATTTCATCTTTTTAAAATTTAATAGTTACAATATTTATATGTATTGAGTCCTAACTTTAATACGCACTGATTAATGTAGAAAAATTAGTTATCCTATTATAATATTATTTTTTTTTATAAAAAATATGTGAGTTTAATTTTTATAATATATATTCATAGAATTAGATTAAGTTGAATTTTCAAAATGTCTTTTATAGACTCACTGTATGTAACTATCTAAATCGATAGATATCATTGTCGATTTATATCTTTACATAAACAATAATCATCCATACGTAAGTGTAAATATTCACGGTTCCTCAAAATTTAAAAAGTTAATTATTTTTAAAACAATAAAAATTCATATAGGAGAGGAACTAAATACATGAGTATATAAATATATATTTGTCTCCTTCCTATTTGCAACCATGTTGAACTTTTGACAAGCGTACCAATAGTCAACATAGTATAATGATTTTTTCAGTTTTTTGAATGTTGATTCCTCACATATCCAACAAACTAACAAACTGTCCAACATTATATTCAAGTGTTATAAGCAATTGATAAACTGAAATTTATCCCTAGCATCACAGGATATCAAATATTCTTGTTCAGATCAGATTTTAGAAATACTTTCCCGTCAAAACTAAAACCCACATTCATGAAACTATTGATCAAATAGAATCAAGCACTAATATTGCTAGATTTCACATCTTTATGGATCACCACTTGCTCCCATTCTTCATGCAGATACAACAGCCCAGCACCTACACCTTTGAGAATTCTGAATCTTTGATCCCAATCCAAAACAAAGCTTCTGCTGAATAGGAGAGAGTCAAGGCTCTCATTTGGAATGTAATCATAAACCAAAAGGAGATCATTCTTGTGCTTGCACCACCCTTGAAGGTTCACCAAATTCTTGTGCCTCAATCTTCCTAAGCTTTCAATCTCAGCTGCAAATTCCCTCATTCCTTTGGCTGGAGTTCTCAGGATCCTTTTAACAGCAACCTCAGTTCCTGTTCTGGGTAACACCCCTTTGTACACAGAACCAAAGCCTCCAACTCCAATTAGTTGGCTCTCTACGAACCCCTTTGTTGCTAGGTGAAGATCTCTGTATCTGAACCTGTGAGGACAATCCATTTCCCAGTCCTCAAGAGTTTCAAATACCATGTATCTCTTATAGAGTGTCACATAAAGAAAAAGGCACAACAAGATAAATGTCAAAGCAGACAACATGCCAATTATAACCTTGATCCAAGGAAAAGACTGTGAGTGTTTCTCCTTTGGTGGTGGCTTTGGAAGTAGTGCATAATCTAATGGAGGGGCAACCCCATTCAACGCAAAACTCCACCCCAGAATATAATGAGCACTTGCTTTCCTCTTATCTATTGATGCAGAGAAACCAAAAAACATGCTCTCCTTCATGACAAATTTGATGTCAACAGCCTCAGATATAAGAGGTTTGCTTGGTTTTTGGTTCCAAATAAGGAGATATTGTGAGATTCAGTATTTCTGTTTCACCATCATATTCAATCCAAACACAAACAACATCAACCTTCTCCATGTTGAACTCTTCCTTTTTGCCATCTACAAAGTAAGCAACAATATTCATAATCCTCAATCATCTGATTCACCCGCTATTTCTGAGTTTCGTTAGAGATGTCAACCTTGGTCCACTTGTACAGCTCCATATCATAACACTCGTCAATCACAAATTGTGGAATCTCTTGTCCGCGGAAAAGCCACAACCCCTTCACCTTAAATGGTGCTTGTGATCCAATTACAAGCATCTTTCCAAAAGCATACTTGCGAGCCAGATCCATCCGCTAAAGAAAAACACCTAGCAACGTGATGAAGAAAGCAAGGACCTTTCGAAAACACGTGAAATACTACCTCCTAGCAATGACAAAATTAAAACACAGAAAGCCATATAATACCTTTGAGTGCAACCTCGTAGAAGTTGGTCTTGGTGTTTGAGTAGAGTCTTTTCCACTCATCCAATATCATCTTGCTTGGAGGAAGAAGATCAAGGGGATTTTTGGGTTTGGGCTTGGGTGCCTCCTCTTCTGCATCTTCTGCCTCTTCTTTGGGCTTCTCTGGCTCTGGCTTAGCCACTTTCTTCGGCTCATCCTTAGGTTTGGGCTTCGACTCCTTAGGCTGGGCAGGCTTCTTCGCAGATTGAACAGGTGGAACAACGTCAGTTTGCTTAACCCGAGCAAGGGAGAGGAGCAGTGGTGGAGAACGCGGCGCAACGAAGGTAAGACCGCGACGAAGGTACAAACCGGTATGAACGAGCAAGGGAGGAGTGAAGAAGGCGGTCACAAACACGACGGAGGCAGGGCGAGCACCGCCACGGAGGCGCGACGAGCAGCGGCGGGGGAGGCGCGGCAAGCAGCGACAACAATGGTGGAGATGCAAAGGAAGAAGAAAGCTGGACTCAGCGAAGCTCTTGGATGCAGCGGCGATAGAAGAAGAACGAAGAAACAGTAGAAGAACGAAGAAACACTTAGGGTTAATTGTGAAAATATAAAAGCAATATTGTGAACTATACGCCCCGGTGCACACAAAACCGAAGCATAAAAGTTTCTTTCAAACTTGTAAAGGTCCTACGGCCTCGGGTCTTAAGACAATCGATGCCGTAGATGTTTTTCACATGATTTACCGGGAAAATGCCATACATTATATATCGGTTCTTATATTAACTGAGGTAATATACACTTTATGCTTCGGTTCTTCTTGAACCAAGGCCTATAAAGTTGTTGGAATTGCAAAAATGTCACCACGTTGTTGTATGTTTCGATTTTCGTAAAACTGATGCCTACAAGGCGCGTTAGAAAACAATTTTTTACCAGTGATGAGTGAATAGCAAAAATCAAATGTTTATGATGGTAGAACCCACACGACATCAATCATCCCATCACAATCCTCATAAACGCAACACAAACCTTTGATTCTACTTCTACAATACTAGTGTATTGAGTGACGTAAACACTTTGCACCTGTCATCTTTGTCTCATCCTCTCATGAGTTATAGCTATATATTTACATGCTTTGACATCCAAAGGATGCAACAATATTAAGGTAGGGCTTCCCACTCTTCGTCAGACCATGACAAAGTGAGTTCAATTATGAACTTCTTTTGACTCTTACAACTAAATATCTTACTTTACATTAGTAAGATTCAAGCCAAGTCAGGATAGTTTCTACATCGCCTCTCAATACATCACATATCCTAAGAATGACTACATTCGCTACGTCCATATAAGAATTCACATTATTCTTAAATCACCATACATAACACCATATCCAAATCCAAAGCTTTTGAAGCCTAACTCAACCCCATAAAACCGGCTTGTAAGGTGAAGTTTGCACTCACTCACTTATATATATATATATATATATATATATATATATTATAATCTGGCCTTATCTTTAGTCGATGTGAGACTTTCAACACACCCCTTTCACGCTGAGGTATAGACATATCGAGCGTGAGAGTATAAATTAGCGAGTGGAATAAAATGCCTCATCAATAGACATATCGAGCGTGAAAGTATAAATTAGCGAGTGGAATAAAATGTCTCATCAATCTTAATAGGATAGGCTCTAACCATAGCTTTGATACCATGTTAAGAAGTTGACTTTAAACCTAACTAACCCCACAAAATCGGTTATATAAGGTGAGGTTTGCACCTACTTATATATTATAAATTGACTTTATCTCTAGTGGACGTGGGACTTCCAACACACCCCCTTCACGCCGAGGTATAAACATCTCGAGTGTGAGAATAGAAATTAATGGGTGGTCTAATAACATCTTGTCAGGTGAGGTTTGCACCCACTTATATATTATAATTTGGCGTTATCTCTAATCGATGTGGGACTTCCAACACTTTACATTTCATATCATTTTCATCCATCATTCATAATATAACAACATGCATACTTTATTCCATATCACACTCATGCATCATTTACAATGTAACAACATACATACGTTATATTTCATATCACATTCATCCATCATTCAGATTATAACAACATACATACTTTACATTCCATATCACATTCATTCATCATTCATGATACAACAACATGCATACTTCACATTCCATATTAGACCAAAACCATAATTAAGTACCTAACAACCCACTAACACACCAAAGTACTAATGGTCTTCAAAACTAGGTAAACAAATAAAAGAAACCTAAAATAAGGAAATCATATGCAACTAATAATTGTTCTAACTACAAACTTCCATTTGAAGATCCCTACAACCATAATGAAGATTAATATGTGAAAGATTAACTATTAAGTTTTCCAGCCCAATTCAATGATTAACTAAACAAGTACCAAACAAACAGTAACAAAACGAGGCTTATCTTTCTCTCAAAATGTTAGATATTTATTTATCTAACCATAGACTTCTAATTGGAAATTATAATTGTCAAAGTATGGAAATACAACTTAGAAACTATGTATAAAAATTTCTACAGAATTCAACATTTAAATAAGCAAAAGTTAAGCTTTTACATAAATAACTGAGAAATATAAATAAGATGATGTTCAATTCCTTTAAAAATTTAAAACCAATTTTTCTAAATATAGACATCAAATTATCAATCTCAATGGTGAAGTTGAAAAATTATGCTAAATATCTAAATTTGAACTTATTTTAACGATTAACTAAGTAAAAATTTATGTTTTACAAAGACAACTCAATAACATAAATACATATGTGTTCATTTTCTTTAAAAAAATACACCAACAAATTACTATAAATACAAACATCAAATTAACAATTCCAATTGTCAAACTTAAGAAATATGTGCTATGAACTATATAACAAATTTTTAACTTCATCTAATAATTAAGGAAGTGAGAATTAAAATTTAACCATAACAATTAAGCAAAACTATCCAATAATCATGCATCAACTCTACCCAACAATTCAATAACAAAGAATAAACTCAACAAATCAATTCAATAATCATTCTATCAAAATTTTATTTATCAACTTAAAAACTAGGTAATTATTAAAATTAAACTAACATCCTTTATTACTACTATTAACTCACTAAACTCGACACTAAACTCGATTGTTTAATGAACAATTCATAAATCAACTTAACACAACATGTAATTGTTATAATTTGAGGTAGATGGAATGCTATCTCCCCTCTCTGTTGTCTATTGGAACTTGGCATATAAGTTGTGATAAAGCTTGAAGATGATTCGTGATGGATTGGTGATTGTGTTTGTGTTGGGTGATGGAAATCTGTAATGTGGTGAGTTATGGGTTCTGTGTCTCAATGAAAGGAGATGAAAACTCAATTTTTATGATTTTTAAAAAAATGGATGAGATTTGGTTGGTGGATTTCTACACCCAACAAACACGCGAGGAGAGAGAAACGTGGACCACCTCCATGACTAGTATATAAAAAGAAGGCTCAGCACTCTCATCTATCGTGCTAAGAATTTGCAGCCTGCAATGGAATTTTTCATGCAATCTCTGTTAATTACCGTGATCACCATGGTTGCATGTGTGTATGTTTTTCAGAAAAGAAGAGCAGGTGGCACTAAAACCTTGCCCCCTGGTAGCTTTGGGTGGCCCCTAATGGGTGAAACCTACCAATTTTTGTTCATCAAGAGTGAACATTTCATTCGAGAGAGGGTCAAAAAGTACTCCTCACAGATCTTCCACACAAACATACTGGGAGAGCCAACAGTGGTTTTTTCTGGTCCTGCAGCACACAAATTTGTCTCCACCAATGAGACAAAGCTTCTCAAAGTTTGGTACATGAAGACTCAGCGCAGGTTCTTCAATATTCCTGATCAAATACATGCACCAAACTCGAAACCAAAACAAGAAGCTGCATCTTCTGCTCCAGTGAAGATCTTGGGGATTCTGAAACCTGAGGGAATAGCAAGGTACATGGGGAACAAAGTTGAATTAACCATGCATCAACATTTCATGACACACTGGGAAGGAAAAACAGAAGTGAAGGTGTACCCTTTGGTGAAGGCCTTTACCCTCACACTGGTTTGTCAATTCTTCTTAGGCATTGATGAACCAAAATTGGGCAGTGAGTTTGAGTACTTGTATTTTGGGATCTACTCTGCTCCTGTGAATTTCCCGGGCTCTGCATACCGTAGGGCACTGAAGGCTTCGGCCGCAATAAGGAAAGAGATACAATTTCTGATCAAAGAGAAGATTGATGCTTTGTCCAAGGGGCAAATTGTGGATGACCTACTAGCACACGTAGTTGGTGCTGAGCAGGGTGGAAAATATGTGCCAAGAATTGAAATAAGCAACATCATCATGGGGATGATGAATTCCAGCCACATGCCAATAGCTATTACTCTGGCTTTCATGATCAAACACATTGGACAAAGGCCTGATATCTACCAAAAAATCGTATCCGGTAATTTAAGATAGTAATTATATATACACAACATAGGACAAAATTTGAATATGGTTGCTTTGCTGCTTTTGGTACAATTCTCTACTCTGAATTCGACTTTCATCCTTGTTAACTTTCACCAGCCCTTTTCTCATACAAATTACCAAACTGAAACTCTAATTTTAATTTAAAAAAATGTGAAAAATACTTAAGAAAATGCATCTAAGTTCTATCTGTGTAAAATATTACCTGCTTTAAGGTAGTGAGGTAAGGTAGAGGTTTAAGCGAGGAGAATACAGTTTTAATTAAAAAAACAATGTTAAAGGTAGTTAAAAAAGTGCATCTAAGTTTTGTCTGTATAAAATATTGCAGTAGCTGCTTTAAGGTACTGCGAGATAAGTTATTGGTTTAAGCCAGGAGAATACAGTTTGGGTTTTTGGATTTTCTTTCTGGACTCCGAATGCAAGATTCTTAAACAAAGTAAGGTTGGCTTACCACAGCCAAAATTTAAATGGCAGTGATACACAAGGCAAAAAGAATCAAATATATTTAATATTCCTTCTTAAAACATAGAGTATATATACATATATATGTATGATACTTTCTTTTATTTTGAATCAGAGCATGCTGGTATTACAAAATTCAAAAGATCTGGTGCAGCACTAGACTGGGACAGCCTACAGAAACTGAAATACACATGGGCTGTTGCACAGGAGACTATGAGACTCTATCCAACCGCACCAGGTGTGTTCAGAGAGGCCATAACAGATATCGCATATGAAGGTTTTACTATTCCAAAAGGGTGGAAGGTACCTTGGTTTAAAGATTGTGAGATACGAATTCATTAATGTAGGTTAGCTTGTAAATTAAATTTTTCTCTAACCTGTTTACATTTGTACAGATTTTTTGGTCACTGGTTGGGACAAATAGGGATCCCGACTACTTTTCTGAACCTGAAAGTTTTGACCCCTCAAGGTTTGAAGGGACCATTCTTCCTGCTCCATACACTTGGATACCCTTTGGAGCTGGACCAAGATCTTGCCCTGGACAAGACTACACGCGGTTTGTGGTCCTCAATTTCATTCACATTCTAATAAACAAGTTCAAGTGGGAAGTTACAGATCCTGATGAGAAAGTTTCAGGGGGTCTAATACCTACCCTAGCAGAAGGAGTATCTATCCGTCTTTATCACCACTAAGTTCTCCCAAGTGCAGATATTGTAAACAAGAAGAACAGTTTGAAAAAGAAATATTTAAGTCTTTGGGTTGTGTAGAGTATCTATCAGTGCAGATTGATTGGAGAATTTGATCAATATCATATGATAGTAAAGACGACAAAGGACCCAAACAAAATGTAAAGTTGGCTAATTGATTATAGGATCGTATGTGTAATGAGACAATGTAATAAGAATATTCTGAATGTATTGTTGTCATTTTGTAAAAGGAAAAAGTGATGTTGAGTAGCTAACTAGCTATTTGAATTGAAGAACAAGTCCCAGTCCCTTCGTACATGTAAAATCCTTATAAAAGAGATGTTGCTATCAGGTCAATCAATGACATGGTTCATGTAATCAGCATAGTTTGACTGTTATAAAAGCAGCGTGATTGTCATACGCAACTATTAATGGATGTTCATTGGACAGGGAGATGCTGGACCACAATTCATACACCAAAAGCGACAACGCACAACACGTCGGATACTCCGAAAGTCCTAAACGCCATGCTTGCAAAATGACAAGGACCAGAATAATAATGCACATACATAAAGAAACATTCAGAATGAAAAAGGCATTGGTTTAGTTGCAGAGAGACAACAATAGATACAATAACACATAATTATTCTTCGGAAAGTAGAGCTCTAGGTGTTTTTGAAAGTGTGAAATTCCATGTTTATTAAAAGGAAATGTTGTTTTAACAATTTTTTTTTATAATATTTTTACAACTGTCTATGTGATAACTTGTGATTAGTATATGTATCCAATAAAACAGTGACACGTAATTCATTGTGAAAAAGTTGTTAACATACAAAGATCTTGATAAAAATTGGTAAAAAATGAACTACTTAATATGTTAATCTTAAACCAACTACAATTTAAAATATGGTATCAAAGTTATTAGAATCCATCCTAATCTTGATTTAAACCTCTAATGATATCTAATTAAGTAATGAGTTTAAATATAACTTAACTGAGATTTTTTTCCATTTATAATGTAAATTGTTCTTTATTATTAATCGAAATAAAATCTCATACACATTTTAATTATTTAAACAAGGATATTGAGTATGAGAATTAAGAAAATTATGATACAGTAGACTCAAATCTCCACTGATACATGACTTTCATATCATATCAAGAGAAAAAGAAATAAAATAATTTATTAAATCTAAATAAATGTTTATGTAAAAATGATAGCTTTATAGAATAGCAAAATATACTAATGAGGAAACAATAAAATAATTAATTATATATAATATCAAAAATATCTGCAAATTAAATAACTGATTATCTATCATTTTTAATATATATATATATATATATATATATATATATATATAATATCTGCAAATTAAATAACTGATTATCTATAATATTTAATTATATTATTCTAATATCTTTTGAATCAGATGATATTAGGAGATTTTATATAACTCAGCTCAGCACAATTCATTCAAAAGATATAAATGGTATTGATCTGATGTTGGAATTTTTTTTTTAAGAATACTCTTTCCTATTTTCCCAACAAGATGATTTGGAAAAAAAAACTTTTGGTACATGTAAGATTGACTATATATAGGATTAAGTGTAGTTGAGATAATAACATCTAGCAAAAATGAATTTAATTTTTAATATAGTAATTAATTAAAGTTTATTGTCACTATGTAATCATCATAAAGTCTATCATGATGGAATGAGAGAATATACTTTGATTAAATCCTATTAATACTATCAAGGTTTAACGTCATTTTGTTGAATGAGAAAGTGAGATGTTAACAACTTTTACACTCTTATTTGAAACAATTTTATATTAATACATCAACATGGACAAGGACAGAGTTAAAGTAATATATATTACATGAGTAATTATATTTATAAATTCATTTCTCATTTTATTTTTTTATCTTTTCGTTTTATTTTTTATCTTTCTTTTATTGGCCTATTACATCACTCATCACTTTTTTTTTCTCTATCTTTTCTTTTCTCTTCCCATCACTCTCATGCTTGTATACGTAGAGTGAAGAAGTCTATACACATTTTTCCATATTATATATATATATATATATCTGTATATATATATATATATAT